TTGCTTTGGTTGCTACTGAAAGCATTCATTCCGGTGGTAAGGAAAGAAAAAAACAACAGAACCGATCTTCGTTCCTCGAGCGACCATGGCATCAACTTCCGGCTATTTCTGCTGGCTACATAAAGCATGAATTTCCAACATGGATGCGCATTTCCGTTGTATTCAAGCACTTCCGGTTTGGAAGCATCAGTGCTGCAGACGGAGGGTAACAGAGACAACGGTCGGATGTGTCTTCGATTGTCACATTTTCTCCCGTTCTCGCTCATTATTCGCTTCTTGGGAATCCATCTTGTTATGTAGTCAGTCATACCTGGTACAGAATAAGACAAAATTAAATAAATAGTTGGAAGATTCTGTTTCTAAAATATTAAAAATGGGGAGGGCCGAATTGAAAACTGGTATCACTTGCGATCGAAAAGAGAGAATCTGCAAAGCGAGCAAACTTGGAATTATTTCAGGAACGGGAAATAAGAAAGTTCCATAAGTGAGCAGTGTGGTAGAAGGAACTGTTAGCATAGAACTTACGGTTACATCTAGCCATTTCAACTGTAAGATGGTGAAACCTAACCGCCAATCTGGTACTGCTCCTAGATTCATAAAGTCTAGGAGCTGTAGAGGAAACAATGTCCATGAAAGTAGTTATAGAATAGGCAGAGGGAAGCTATATTAGGGCGGTGGAAAAGTGATTGAAGCCGAGATGCCAAGTCAGGACCAATAAACATTGTAGATTCTTACTTGGAGTTTATTAAGAATTTCCAAATATATACCAGGAGTACCAGATCAGATCAGATGTCGCAGCAATATTCAAAGCAAGGATGAACGGTAGACTTATAAATCTGTAAAATAGATTCTGGTGAGAAAATTTGTCTCTCACGACGCAGGGAACAAAGTTTCCTAGCAGCAGATCTAGCAATTGATTCAATATAATCTTTCTACTTCATGTCAGTGGAAAACGTCAGCCCAAGAAGGCACAACGAGTCTTGGAGGTTAGCATGAGCTAATGGAAGGTTAGTGTTATACCCCGTCGCAACTAGATCTTAATCTGATTCATTCTGAACGCTGGCCGGATGTGGCCGCCATGAAGGCAGAAGACGAAATAACAAATGTCGTTTACTGTGCATTGGGCTCCACGCACTACGTCCGGTCTACAAAGAGAACTCCGGCGGTGGCCAATCGCTAATCTTCCAGCCGGTAAAAGAGATGCCCCTTGGGACTACCAGACCTGCTAAAAATAATCAGATGCTAACAAATTTGAACTGAGTGTTGGAGAATATGAGAAAAAAAACTGGTAAGGAGAGAGGGAATGATAAAAGAAGAGGAAGTAAAGACAGAAGATAATAATTGATATTGTATTTAAATTTTTGAAGATCAAAATTGACTGGTGTTGTGGATTCCGGGTTGAAATCCGGTACCAATAAATATCAAACGCCAAGAAGGAATATAGAAAAATAAATGTATTAATGTAATAATACAAATTGGTAATGCAGGTTAGTAGTTCCAGGAATACGGGTTAGTAGCAAAATATATATACAGTCTTTGGTATTGAAGTATCACTGTATGACTTCTTACTGAGTCTACTTGTTCGCTCACGGTGACTCTTGTTGGCTACGTTCGTTCTGTCTGTCTGTTACCTTCACCCTCTGTTGCTCTCGTCTCTCGGGTAGCAGTAGTATATTTATATGCTGAGTGAGTCCATTTGAGTAAAAAGGGGAGAACCCCTCAACTGGGAAGCAAGAAGCCAGAAGAGAGTTCCACAAGCTAAAAGTGTAATAAAAGAAGCTATTAACATAGAAGTTAAGGTTACATCTAGCCGTTTCAACTGTAAAATCATCAGACCTTTCAACCAATCTAGTAGTGTGCTTAAAATAATAAAGTTGAGGTACCAAAAAGGAAAGCTAATCAGAACAATAATCATGAAAATATTTATAGAAAAAGCACAGGGGATTTATGCTATGGCAGAGTGGAATTAACTAAAACTGAGATTATCAGGCCAGGACCACTAACATTGACAATTCTTCTTTGGATTCTGTCTAGAATCTCTAAATAAATAAACTGATGTTAACAAATTTGAACTTTATGCTTTATCTTCTTTATTTATATATTCATAAATTTAAAGTTTAAGTATCAGGAGCACCAGACCAGATGTGGCATCAATATTCAATGCGTGGATGAATATTAGACTTATAAATATATAAGATAGATTCTTTGGATTTTATCAAGAATCTCTAAATATACAGCAGGAGCAACAGACCAGATGAGGTAGCAATATTCAAAGCAATGATGAATGGTAGACTTATAAATATATAAGATAGTTTCTGGTGAGAAAAATTATATAGCACAACACAGTAAACCATCTTTCCTAGCAACAAACAAAGCAATTGGTTCAATATACTCTTTCCAGTTCATGTTAGTGGAAAACGTTAACCCCAAATGGTGCATTGAATCACTTATTACTTACTGTTTTCGGAAGGTAATTATGTATTTCACGGCTATATTAGCGTAATTCCCCATGTATACTACGCATTTTTTCTAAAATAAGAAATATTAGGGGTGCATATTATGCACAGATACAGAAAAATCTTTTAAAAATTGCCGTTTCATAGATCGATTTCAGTTGCGAAATAACTATTCACCAGAAACATACGACAATTTGACACATTTAACATTCGGCGACTGCGATCCCATAAGGATGTCAAATACAATCATATGTACCTAAAAATACTTACAAATGTTTAATAAAATAAGAATTATCATAAAATTAAATTAAAATAATATTATAATACTATAATTAAAACCATTTTTAAAACGCTGGTCTTAATGAAATTGGAGGGATACAATTTATACAGTTTGATTACCAAATAAGGGGTGCGGATTATGCGTAAGTAGAAGCATTTTTCCACATTTTCAGCACAATTTTAGGGGTGCGTATTATGGATAAAAGCGTATTATATATTGGGGAATTACGGTACGTATCGATAATCCAGAGGAGAACTAAAATAGAACAAAGGTGAATGGTAGAAAACTGCGTCCACAATTCATTTAACATCTTTTTTTATTCGGGTGTTTGGAAACTCATTACGTATTTCATCGCTATGGATAATGTGTTGATCACCTAAGGCAGAAGTAAGACTGAATGGTAGAAATGTACGTTTAGAATTAATTATCTCTTCTATGCGATAGTGCGTTATTTATAATGCATTTTAGAGTTTAATTTCATGAAGGATTGTAACTTGAATATTGTAACCACCTAATACGCCATTGCTTTTCTAATGAATTTCGAAAGGGTAATCGTGCCACAGCTGCATTTAAATCATTTGTGTCTTGTATGCAGATGTACTGGAGGGTCGTAAATGCCAGTATTAAGTAATACATCTTTCTCCTCTTCTAATGAGAATGTCATTAATAACGCGTTAACATTATATATTAATGTGTCCGAAAAAGAATTACGTATTACAGCGCTCTGAATTATATTTCAACCAACCAAGACAGAACCTAGTCTTTCCAAGTGGGACACGCCATGACACTTTCATCAGGGTGAATCATTCTCATTTCCTTAGTATTCTAGTCGTAAGAAAGAAGTTCCACTCGGACAGCTTCTTTCCAAGAACCGCTGCTTTGTAGAACAGGCTTCCGCCAATATGTCTTCCCGATCATTACAATTTTGACCTCTTCAAATTTTAGGTCAACTAATATTTCCTGAATATTTTCCATGAACTTCAATTCTTACCTTTTCTTATGCATATACAACACGACACAATAATTGTCTACCTTATGTGTCTCTTGGGCCTTGTATTGCATGAGGCATTAGTATAAAGAAAGTGCCAGTTTTGAATGTTAAGAAACTGTCTTGAGTTTCTTCATTAAAAATTATTAACATTTTATCATTTCATTCTCGTCCCTGTCATTTGAGGTCCAGACATTGACACAGCGAGGTACCTGACTGATTGATTTTTATTATGGCATCGATTTCCTTTGTCATTATTAAAACATATTAAAACAGACAACGGAAAATAGATGCACCGGAGGAAAGACTGAAAGAAAAGAGGTATACATACAGAGGGGGGAAAGATGGGGGAAGAAAAGATGGGGGGAGAAGGAGAGAGAAAAGAGAGAGAAAGAAAGAGCGGGAGACAGAAAGAGAGAGAAAGAGAGGGGGAAGGAGAGAGAGAGAAATAGAAAGGGAGAGAAAGAAAGGGGAGAAGGAGAGAGAGAAACAGAAAGAAGGAGAAAAAGAGGAAGAGAGGGAAAAAGCGGTAGAAAGCGAGAGAGAGAAAGAGAGGGAAGGAGTGAGACAAACAGAAAGAGTAAGAAAAAAAGAGGTAGACAGAAAGAGTGAGGGAAAGAGATGCGGAGAAGGAGAGTGAGAAATATATAGAGAGAAACAGAAACAGAGAAAGAAAGAGAGGAGAGAAAGAGAGAGAAAAACAGAAAGAGAGAAGCAGAGAGAGAGAGAAAGAAGGAGATAAGGAAAGAGAAGGTGACAGAATGTCGTTTATGTTTAATTTTGTAAATTTTTTAAACATGACTTTTGTGTTGCTCATGAGCTTTCGCTTGCGAACAGTAAACAAAGCCCCCCTCTATCTACAGGGGTATTTCAACCAGAAATACCTGGATTTCATTTTTGCCTCATATTGTCACGAGGGACGAAAAATGGGTTTTGCCTGTAAACAGAAAACAAAAAATATAGTGGTTATCAGAAAATGCGAAACTAGTGTCAACGTCAAAACTATAATTCTGTTCACTGAAGTCTTCGCCTTGTATGTGGTGGCATCTTGAATATGTCGTCCATTACGAACTGATTAACATGGAAGGACCAACACTGTGGATATGTATTACAAGCAACTTTATTGAGTAAACAAAGAATTATAGCGAATGTACTCTGATTTAGTAAACAGAAAATGTATTATTATCCAGCATGACAATGTAAGAAATAATTATTAAGGTCCTTCCACATGCTCCACACTCACTAAATTTGACTCAGGGGCACATCACGTTGAAACACAAGTTCTCGTATAATCTCCGAAGTTAAGCAACAATGAGCGTGGCTAGTACCTAGAGAGATAAACGTATGGGGTGTAAGCTTGTATGTGTAGGTGGTGCAATGGAAAACGACTCGGAATTTGTTATTCGGAGAGCCGTGTTCAGATTCCTGTCGGGTCCATTATATTCACTTATGAATAAATACTCTTGAGAAAGGTGTCAATCCACCTCTTCTCCCCTCAACTATGGATTAATTAGTTGGGATTTTAACTGTAAATCATAATTATTTCCAAAACATCCTGTAAACTAAAAATAATTTTTGTCTTTAAACAACCTGAAAAAGGTTGATAAGCTGTAAAAAAATAATCAATCTCACCAAATTTGACATCTGCAGATTTTCGTGGTCACAAGAATATTTCATAGGTAACTGAACATTCAGAAAGGAAAAACTTGAAACTAGTCTTTCAAAGATTTCTTTAGAGTTAAAATCGAAAATGTACATTCCGTCATTTTCAGCGACTGCAGAGTCTTTGAATATGAAAGTAATTCTATCTTTTATAAATAATATTCAAATTACTATAACTTGTTTTTATATCCGTTCTCTTAAAACGTACTTACGACCAGCCCATTAGTAGGAAAAAGATTCTGTAAATGAGAATGTCTAATCTCTTTAGCATCCTGTCTGCGAAGACGATAAATTTGTATTTCTTACGGCCAATTAGTTTTCCTCTTTGGGTCTGCCTCTTTGTGACCTCCAAAATCCTAATGAGAATCATGACGTGAATTATCTGCCCCTAGTAACAGAGAACTGCTGTAACAACCATAAGTAGCGCTACATGCTTACACACCTTTCTGTAATTTACACACGCCATATTTCAATTCCTCCGTCTGGTAATATTTTTCCCCATTTTATTTCTCGACCCTGTCATTTGGGGTCCAGACTTGCTAGTGACACGGCTAGGTACCTGATTGATTGATTTTTATTATCGCATCGATTTTCTTTCACATTATTCGTGTTAAAACAGACAACGGAAAATAGACGCACTGGAGAAAGAGAGAGAGAGAGAGAAAGAGAGGGAGACTGAAAAAGAAAGAGAAAGCGAGAGAAAAATGGTGAAAGAGAGAAAAAACAGAAAAAGAGAGAGGAAGAGGGAGTGAGAAAGTCAGAGAAAAAGAGATAGGAAAAGGAAGAGATAGAGTGGGAGGGAAAGAAAGAGATAAAGAGAGAAAAAGGTAGAGAGGTAAAGAGAAAGAGAAAAAGAGAGAGAAAGAGGGAGAAATATAAAAAGAGAGAAGAAGAGTGAGGAAGAGGAAGAGAGAGAGGGAAAGAGAGAGAGAGAAAAAGAGAGAAAAGGTAGAGAGATTAAGAGAAAGAGGAAAAAAGAGAGGAAAAAGAGAGAAAGAGGGGGAGAGAGAAAGAGAGAGAAAAAGAGTGATAGGAAGAGGAAGAGGGAGAGGGAAAGAGAGAGAAAAAGAGAGAAAAGGTAGAGAGATGAAGAGAAAGAGAAAGAAAAAAGAGAGAATGAAGGATAGGGAGAGATAGGGGGAAAGAGAAAGGGAAAGAGAAAGAGAAAGAAAGATGGAAAGATAGAGAAAGAGTGAGAGAGAAAGAGAGAGTGAGAAAGAGAGAGAGGAGGGATTGAGAGGGAATAAATACTTGCAAGTCTATGAAAGAAAAAAGAAATTAAGAAACATGATTTAGATGGGAAGAAAACGTAAATACTTTGGGGTTAGAGAAAGAAAGATGGCGAACGCTGAAAAAAAAAGAGATTTCCTGCTGTAGCGCGATAGTTAACATGTTCACCTCATAGACAAATCCAGTTATTTATATTTAGAAACAGAAAGATTTCATTAGAAATGAGAAAAAGAGTGCCAAAGAATGCCAATATCAGTCCTCCTACAATGGCAGTGAATGATGGACAATCTCTTCACAGATGAAGAAAAGACTTGAAGCAACAGAAATGTGGTTCTACAGAAGGATACTGAAAGTACCAAGAACTGAAGAAACTTTAGAGAAACTAGAAACAAAAATGACATTTATACGTCATATCAGAAATAAAGTATTACTTCCCCTTTTACCATGTATGGAATCACCTCAGAATATTAGGTTTTATATATTAGTTCTATATATCTGAAATTGCATTAACCTTGCTCTCAATTTAAGTCAGGATTGTCTTAGATGTTGCCATAGAAAGTTATAACTCCATAACCAAAAAATTCAAATTCAACTTGCATTGACAGGACGAACATTTTACTTGGTGAAAATAGTTGTCTACAGAGTGCAAAAGATTAAACTTCATCGTTGATCACATGCTCCGTCAATGTTATTCTCAGCATCCTTCTGCAGAACCACATGTCAAGCCTTTTTTTTTATTTCTGAGGAAACTGCCCCCTATTAAGAACCTATAGCGAAGAAAACGGCGACTTACCTCGTCAAACCAAGCGACAGCGCGTCGCGTGTATCCTACGACGGAAAATGTGGCGCAAAAGAAAATTATACCCCAAAAGGGCACGTATTACACATGACATGCTGAAGACGGAATATTTAAATTAAAAATAAATAAATAAACAAGTCCGTAGAAGGAGTCGCTATAAAAGTATTTTGATATGCAAAAATTGGGCGTCCTGTCCCAGTTGTCGACGAATGGAAAAAATGCTCGACCGATAAAAGCAGTTGATGTTCTCGAATCGGGGGAAGATTTGTGTATTTTGGCTACTGCGTTCGTCGGAGAGTGAGTTATTTTTCTGACTGGTTACGTGCATTGTGATTTGTGAGATAGTACCTGCGAATCGAGTTTTCGGCATTTCTTTCTGTCCCCGATATTCGAATTTGAACTTACAGTGATTTATTCTTTGCGTTGTGGAATTAATCTACGAAAAATATTTCCTTTGCTTTTAAGAACGCTTACAGAACCATAAAAGAAAATTGGTATCACAGTGCAGTTTTCTGATGAAAATTTCTTGTTTAGCATTTACTAAGTAATCTCCACAAGTTCAACACTACTTCGGATTTCGGTGCCACTTTTATCGTTTGTCTGTTACAACAGTTCACCCATAGTTAAATTTCTGTACTTGTTTGATCATTAGATTTTGAATTTGTAGCTCATATAATAGGTTTCCATGTTTGCTAACGACCATACATTGTATCTTCTTATAACGTTATTCCGTTCTTCACGCTTTCCTTTACCCATATTGTCGAGGGGTTTCTACAGTATTCTTTCTGCGCTTTCTATTAAAACAGTGTAATCTGCGTATGTTAGGTTGGTACGATCGTTTCTGCCAATAATAAAATCTAAAATATTTTCATTCTCTTTCACTCCCACTAGCCTTTGCATCTTAGTTGCATTATCGCCTTGTTTGGGCGAATTGATACAAAAAAAAAACATTGTAGGATATTTTGGATTGCTTCGCTGTAGTAGCATAACTGTCGACTCGTATTCGAGGATACCTGTCTACTAGGGCGGCTAGCCAATCCCTATTGCAGACGCTTGCTCAGGCGCATTTGTATTTATTCAACACCCACAGAGCCAACATGTGATTTATATTGCAACTATGCTGAGCAGAACTCAGTTGCAGTTTCTTGGAAAGAGCGTGTTATCTAGCGTGATCAACAATTTGAACAAGGCCAGCACGCTCAAGCCCTCGGCCACAATGACTTGAGGAGGTATAACGTCGTTGTCACTAGTGACCACTCCAAACACGTTCGTAATTACCACCAGCGTTATCCAACTTTTTCCAAGTCCTGTCCTCAGATTGGCAGCAAACACTCTGAAATGATCGTACTGGAACTTCCGGTGCGAATGCCAAACAGTACAGCACGCCGTTTCTAAATTTCTGGCAGAGTGAATTGCGTCTTGGTGCACTTTTACTCACAGACGGTGGCCAAATGACCCTGCTATACTGTACAGTCGACAAAATCAAAAACAACGCGCATGCGCGAAATTAAAAATAGAAGATGTCGACAATTTACCCATCGCCCCCCTTGTATATCTATATATATCTGTATCTACATATATATACGAGAGACTGTGAGAGGGACAGGCAGAAAGAGGGAGAGAGAGAAAGATAGAGATAGAGAGACTGAGTGAAAGGCAAAGTAGAGTGAGGGACTGACAAAAAAATGGGAGGAAAAATGCCTGCGGATATTTTTTCTGTTCTGATTGAAGGGATTGGTGATTTTGGCGTCGATCGGCACGATCAATCGATCACTTGATGAGTCATTGCCTACTACTTGGACATATTAGAGGCGTGATTTCCGGCTTGGTTATCGGCCCCTGGGTCATTGCGGCAAAGTGTTGTCTATATTAGAGCTTTTTTTCTTATAAACGCGCGTACGGGTGCACCCACATACACGTATGTCTGCGTTTGAGAGGAGAAATAAATAAATAGAAATATGTAGATATCTGTATACAGATATGAGGAAAACCGACACAACTTTACAGTCAAATTCCCAACTCGCACAATTCTGTGTGCACTCACTTTCTGAGATATATATATATATATATATATATATATATATATTTTATATCGGCTTGGATTGAGGAATCGCAGAGCCAAGTTCGAATCCAGGTTGAATCCATTACATTCACTTACGTGCTAATACCTTTGGGAAAGGTGTGAATCCTCATCTTCTCTCTAAAATAGCAGGACAGACTGGGTTCTATAGCCTTGGATGGCAACTGGTCTAGGAGAAGGACAACTCTGAATTCAAAACCTGAGGAGGGTTATTTGGAAACCTTGTGGCACGTAGTGCACCAGGTCTCTGTATTCAGCCCTTCAAAAAGTGTGGATGGTCCTGCACGAAACCTTTACCACTATAATCGAATCTCATGTGCCGGTGTCGAGCTGTCAGTTTCCTGGAAACTGATCTGCTTGACCCTCATATGTCGAACCTGACGGAAGAATCGATTTATATATATATATATATATATATATATATATATATATATATATATATATAGTGCTGAAATTTTCTTTGGCTGAACAACAATTCCTTCAAAGCCCCCAGAAATCTGATGTTTGGTCAGAAGTTTGGAAATGGAATGGGATTCAGAACTTTTCAGCACTCTCTTGTGTGTATGTAATATGAAACTTTTCATATCGCCTTGCATTTCTCAGCCTCCATCTGACTTTCAAAATTCACTCGCAATTTGGCCAAAAAGCTTTGGATGTAAAAAAAAATCTCACTGGACACTGAAGTTAACAACATGAGGCGACCGTCTGTATTATGCGTGAGCGCAATCATACACTTACGTATTGCGTGAAACAGACTGTCCTCTTATCTATCTATCTATCTATCTATCTATCTATCTATCTATCTATCTATCTATCTATTGTCTCAAGGTCCTTGATAAAATCCAAAGACGGATATGCAATGTAATTGGCCCTGATCTGGCATCTCGTCTGCAGCCGCTCTCTCACAGACGTGTGGTTGCCTCCCTCTGCCTTTTTTTACAAATACTTTCTCCGATGAGCTGCTTTCGCTGGTTCCCAGACTTCATGAATTTAAACGTTCTACTAGGCTGGCATCTCGCTCTCACCCTTTCACTGTCGAAACTGTTAAATGTATCCGTCTCTTCTACTCCAATAGCTTCATGTCTCGCACTTATCGCCTGTGGAACTCCATCCCCAGTTCTTGTTTTCCTGATAACTGTAATCTCCAACTATTCAAATGTAACGTCAATCGACGTCTCCAAATGCCTTGATCTATCCCCTAACCGTCTCTTCATCATTTCCTCTATCACTCCTCTTTGTTCTCGCTCCTACTCTCTGTAACCCTTTGCATGCTAGTGGCTTCCCACCTTGCTTGTGGTTGAATTCCTAAAAAAAAAAAAAAAAACTTCGAAGGAGATTAAATATGCATTTGATATGTGTTGTAGTTTTATTTTTATAACACTATTACCGATATATATATTTTAATCAAATCTAGGGGTTTAACACTACGATGGCCAGCTCTTTTGACATCTTTATTTACATTACGCCGTGAAGCAGCCATCTTTAATATATTCAATATTCAAGTCAGGAATAACAAGTCTGAAAAGAAATTCACAAATATTACTATACCTCATACTGAAAGAAAGTGATTAAAAATATATATATATATATATATATATATATATATATATATATATATATATATATATAAACTGTGTGTGTGTGTATGTGTGTGAATAGATAGATAAATAGATAGAATGGGGACATAAATACAGTATTATTGCTTGTGAGAAATTTTTCAATGCATTTACCCTATAAATAGCCGAGGTGTCAAAAACGACATCTTGGCCATTCAGGGTAAAACCTCAAATGTCAGCTATTCCACTGAATATTTTTTAAAGAATTAAATCTGATAAGCATCTTTGCTAAAATACAATAATTGTCCATAAGCCTCAGCATCGAACCAAAACTAGTTATTCCATAGGAATTTGTTGAAAATTTGAAGGTGTCGAAAACGACACCTCGGCCATCCTAGTGTTAAATCTTTGTTTCATTTTCTACAAACCGCTCAAACATTTTTTACTACGGAAAAAAACTCACCAAAATCTAACGCATTTAATTCCAACATGACAAGAAACGAAACAAATACGAGAAGCCATTTTCTGTTGTCTCGAATCCGAAGATGTTGAAAGTGCCCTTTCTATAATAGGTCGCTTTCCGTGGTAACGGCTAAATTCCCCATTTCTTATATGAACAATTTCGATCGACGCAATTGCCACAATCTAATCAGGCTAATGCATCTTGTCCATTGCTATGCCAAAGCTTACTTTGAACACAAATTATATCGTAAAAAAGTCAGACCTTATTTCAGTCTACAAAACCCTATACACCTTTCATCTTTACAAGTATCATTGTCATTATATGTCTATATTTCTCAGATGAAGTATTGTGATCTTTTTTTACATTAATTATATTGTTTATACTGTTCCCCTTGTCTTTATTGTCATATCAACGACGTTTCGACTGCTGTACGCTCCAGCTTTATCCAGGTGATTGAAATTTCGAATTGAAGCCTTTATTTTGAACACCGGGGTAGATGTTTTAGTTCCACGTGCCATGTCCAAATAGTTGTGAGTTCAATACTACGTCAGTGGTAAACAAAAACTTGTAGAGTTGAGCTAAAGGGAAATAACTGAGACACCCGGAAGAGGCATGGCACATAGAACTAGAACAATCTACTCCGGTGGACGAAATAAGCGTTCAGTTCGAAATTCCAATCACCCGAAGAAGGCCGGAGCGTTCAACGGTCGAAAAGTCGTGAATATGACAATAAAGATGAGGTCCACAGTTCGAACAATGTAGTAGTAGTACTGGTTTGGAAAAACCTCGGATAGCTCAACTTGCAATAGAAAAAGTCGGTACCCGAGGAATAATGAAAAATATAGATAGATAGATAGATAGATAGATAGATAGAAAAAGACCAAAAAAGAAAAAAAGATAGAAAGAGATTGAAAAAAGAACAGATAGATAGATAGATAGATAGATAGATAGATACATACATACATACATACATACATACATACATA